TATATGATTGGCTGAATTTAGGTGTTCAGGCTGACGTAGAACTAACTGGCCTGCAGAAGATAACGAGAAAAAAAAACAGGATGTTTTTAGAAATAGACATTTTTTAACTTAACTGGAGCTGAACTGGTTCTGAACTGGTTCTGAACTGGAGCTGAATTGGAGCTGAACTGGTTCTGAGCTGGAAGTAAACTGGAGCTGAACTGGAACTGAACGGGAGCTGAACTGGAACTGAACTGGTTCTGAGCTGGAGCTGAACTGGGACGGTTGATCCCCCAATCATCGTGGTCTATCCTGTCCCTCTCAGAGGTGACTTTAAAACGCTGTTTTCTTAAAGCAGCTTTTTTAGCAGTCCCGGTCGGCCTGGGGAAGGAAGCCTTAAACACGTATTACTGTAAGCTGAGGGCCATCTGTGGCAGAGCATCATTGTTCTTTTGCTGTCATGTTTCTCGTTCGGCCGCCTGCATCCCTGGGATTTGGACTCTGCTGCTTTGCGTGTGACAATCTCTCCATTTAGATTTTCATTCGTCTGTGTTAAATTCAGACGGTGTGTAGATGGGATAAGAGTGCAAATCCCACATCTGACCCTGACTGGCTCTTTGACAACTTTAATCTTTCATCATTGGGCCGAGCTGCATGTCGGCCGTCCTCTCAGCATTCTTCTCACCAAAGGAGAACCTGCTGATGGAGAAGCGGCGCTTGAACCAATCAGAAGCTGAGCTGCTGACGGCTAACAGAAAACATACGGCTGGGTCACAGCGAGACGCCTCCCTGCTCTGAGGCTGGGAGCGACCCTGAGGACTAGCAGATGCTTGGCTACGTTCCTCCACGGCTCGGCGCGGCCCGGTCTGTGGGGGGGTTATCAGGCGGATGCTGAGCCACATCCGATTCCACCTCCCTGTCTGACATCAAGGCGAGCGAGCGCTGCGTGGAGCGCAGCAGGGCTGCTTTGATGTCAGTCACTGAGGACAAACAGCAACATCTCCTGAACATTGGTGGTCTGGAGAATGGCTGCATCCTAACGGTTACCATGGCGATGCTGCGTCACAGCAGAGGGGCGTGGGCGGGAATGTAGGTTAGCAGCTGGCGCGTTCCTCTGCAGCCCTGCCAGAAGCGATCTGCTCATACAGGTGTAAATCCAGCTGCTGGACGCTCCTTTCTCCGCCTCGCCGTGACACACAGGAAGGAGAGACAGACGGACAGATGGTGCTTGGGTTCTCCTGTGCGAGTATAGCGTAAAAGCATATGATATCACCCCCCCCTCTAGGGGCAGAACCTGCTGCCTCACCCTCAGCCAGTGTGAGTCGGTGCAGCGGTGTGCTGCACAGCTGCGTGTCCCGATGCATTAATGCCGACGTCTCTCCTGGACTGAATGAAACCATGAAGCCACTCTGATAATGTCCCACAGAGCCGGTGCTGCGGAGCAGCTCGCCTCAGAAACAGGCATGGTTTGGACGCCAAAGAGAGAGAGCATCACATCAGCTCCTGCAGCCAACCATAGAGCTGTTATCAGGGGGGGATTCTACACCTTCAGGGTCTCTGCTGGTAAAAATCCTACAATAATTTTATAGCACAGAACATTTACGGGGATTTAAAAAGCCAGAGCGTTGGCCAGAGGCTGCTGCAGGACCTGCCGTGCTTTCCTGGAAGACTGACCTTCAGGAAGGAGAAGAATCTGCAGGTTTTTCTTCTCTGAATGGTTGAAAACATGTCATGAGTAAAATGATCCGTTGATTGAACACGGCGTTCCCCGGCACTGAAAGCTCCGCCCTACGCCAGCGGCACCTTCAACCTCCTCTTCATCACCTTTATGGTCTGATAAAAATGTTTGTTGTCTTTGAAATATTCTAGTTTAATTAAAATGACTCTTTATCTCGTTTTATGCCACATTTTTAGAAAAAGGCAGTTTAGGTTTAGTGTTTACTTCTCTGTCTGAAAGTTAAAGAAACGGTTCTGCATCATGAGACTTTACCCTGAGATGTTCAACCCTGGTTTTGTGAATGAACTCATCGTCATGATGCACAGCTCAGCTGAGGCAGAGTCAGAGCAAAGCCGTTTCAGGTCTGAAGCTCAGCGTGAAGAAAATGATGCAGAAACGAGGCTGAAGGTCCCAGGAAGAGATCAGAGAAGCATCAATATGATTTTATATCAGGCATGGACAGCGTCTGAAAAGACTGAGAGGCAACATTCAAAAACCCGTCTAGAACATCTAGAACTATAGAATCAAACAATAAGGTTTAAATGTGAGTGATTTGTTCCCTGGTTCCACAGCGCAGCTCCCAGGATGTCATAAACATGCAGATCAGACACCACAGCACCTAAAAACGTTGACAGAGCGAAGCCTTCTGCAGGCTGGTTTAAAAAACCCCAATGCTGTTAATGCGACCGCAGGATCAGGACTCCACTTTCATCCTCAGAGCTTACTTATCAAATATCACAGGGAAATAAATCCCCCGCCATCTGTTGGAATCATTATAGCATTTCCATTCAAACAGGGCATGAAAATGACATTTAAATGGAAAATATTAAAATCTGCCTATATTTGTAGAGCCACCTGTACTCTATGTAAATGACCTGGGGAGGCCTGTAGCTGCAGAAGGCCTTAAAACGACAACATTTCAATGTATGGCAAAGATCCAGAAAAGAGTAAACGGCAGAGCCAGGCTGAGCCATTCTGCCTGTTTCAGCTCTACATGCATCCAGACTGATTTCCTTACAGCGTAGCTCCTGTTTTATCTGTCTTCTCAATAACCCGAACAGCGCTGTGCTTCATTAGGATATGCAAAAGAACCGAGAGCATCAGCTGGACGTTCAGAAGGAGAACAGAGAGACTGATGGAGCCATCAGCCTGTAGGGATGTCAGCTGCAGCCTGAGATGCCATCATGGCCGCCTGGAAGCTGCAGTCAGTCCTCCTCCAGGTGTTTGCTTTAAACTGGGCTGATCTTGTTACCTCCTTAGGAGGAGGTTCTGGGATGGAGCAGGGGCCCGAAGTGAGCAGCAGCAGGGGCCCAAAGTGAGCAGCAGGGGCCCAAAGTGAGCAGCAGGGGCCATTGGAGGCCCTAAGAGCGATTTCAACTGGCGCCACTGATTCCGTCTTTGGTAAAACAAAATGCTCCTCATTTCAGAACCTTCAGACCGTTCTTCATGTCCTGGAGGTCAACGTTTGGCCCCCCAATGAACAGCAGTAGAACAATTGGAGGACTGTGGCCCCACATCAGGGGCCCCTGAGCAGAGTCCAGTGGAGAGGATCCCTGAGCAGTGATTGATTCCCCCAGCAGTGATCAGAAGCAGAGTGTGGGCGGAGCTACCTACCCTGTGCGTTTGGTGATGGTTCCCAGCGTCATGGGCTGTTTGATCTGAGCCAGAGGCAGAACCACGGTGAGGCTGGGGTGCGGGCTGAGCCGAGGGTTCCCCATGTTGTTGTTGGTGAAGTTGTTGTACGAATCCTGGCTGCTGAGTTTGGCTGAAAGACACAAAGGCAGAAGATGAGCTGCAGAGAGTAGAACTGGAAGCTGCTGGACCATGGAGATCAGTTGACAGGAAAACAAAGTGATGCTGAAACTCTGGATCCGCTTCGGATGCGTTTATAGACACTTATATGACCCCCCCCCCCCGGCTCCCTCATCAGGCCAGCTCCATGCTGTAAATAACCAGTCCAAGATGCTGCATTACAGCGCTCTGCCTGGAAGCCTTAATCAGGGCCAATCAACGGCCTCTCTGGCCCTGCAGGGACCCACATACAGGCACACATGGGAGAACGTAGAGATAGATGGTCTAGAGATCCTATCTCTGCTGAAGAGCTGCAGTCCAACCTAATGAGACCAGGCTGCCCTGCTCCATCACTGCTGCTGCTCTTCTTAGCATTCAGTCTGCATTCAAACATGTATGAAGAGGAGAACAGGACTGATCCCGTTTTAATAAACTCCATCATGCATGCAGACGCTTCATAGCTGCCAGAACTGCAGCTCTAAGACACCTTCATCATCCTCAGATTAAAGAAAAATAATCAGCCGAAAGGACAGAAACCTGAAGGCCTGAAAACAGATCAGTTCTAGAATGAAAGCAGCGTTTCCACAGAGGAAAGCTTGGATGATGTCATAGATGTCGTTAATTATATTATATGAAACATCTAGAAGAAGAAATAATAAAGAAGAAGAATCAGTGCAGAAATAAAGCAACAAACTGCAGAATAATGTCCTGCCTGCTGGTTACCTCTGCTGAACACAGAGAAACGAGCAAACAAAGGCACCTAAACACACACATTCAACCACACACCATCATCCAACTCATTTATCTGTAATCCCGCTGGCAGCCCAAGGAAAATCCCAAGTTCAAGAGCTTTGAGAAGAAATAAAGAGCCAAGCAGCGGGCGCAGCACAAAAGGCCCTCTGAATGTTTTCCTGGTTCCGTTTGTTGCTTTAATAGATGAATGACAGCAGCCAAACATAAAGGACTGAAGGGGTGGGGGGGCATGAAGAGGGAGTGCTGAGTGTTTGGATCCAGGCTTTTAGATCATTACCAAGGAGCTCCCCATTTCATTAGTCCCTCCATAGCTCTGCTCTGACCCCCCCCTCAATGTCCACATTCAGACCTCTGACAGCCAACAATGCTGCATGACCTTCATAGGGGGAGACCCAGCCGTCAACACAGACCCCCCCCCTGCTGCAGCGGCCCGGACCGGGGGGGGGATTCCTGAAAGCCCTTCACATTTCACAAGTGCTACACCCCCAGAGCGGAGCAGCCACCTTTTGTGTGGAAGGAAGGGGAGCAGATGATG